TGATGTATTTGAGTTACGGTGTTGGGGGAGAATATTGAAAGTGCCATGGGCTGCCAAAAGAACCAATAGATCCATTTTGGAAGAAGTACAGCCAGAGTGCTCCTTAGAGGCCAAGATGGCCAAACTTTGTCTCTCATACTTCGGACGTATTGTCAGGAGGGACCAGTCACTGGAGATGGATCTCATGTTTGGTAAGGTGGAGGGTCAGAGAAAAAGAAGAAGATCCCCAACAAGATGGATTGGCCAAGTGGCAGCATCGATGGACTCAAACGTAGCATCAGTAGTGAGGTTGGCCCAGGATCAGGCAGTGTTTCGTTCTGCTGTGCATAAAGTTGCTATGAGTCAGTGTCGACTCAATGGCACCTAACAACAACAACATCCATAAGCAAAGGTCTAGTTCATCAAATTGTAGCAATTTATGTTTGGTCCCTATATCAAACTTCTTTATCTTCATCTGGTTGCGTTCTGATCAGCTAGCCATCCAAGCTATGTCAAATGTTTGGGAATTCTTGCACACCTTCTCCCACTTCAGGCTAGCTGGCCACTTCATTCTCAACTCTAGTCTCCAGTGGCTAGGTCAGTGTCCATGGTTCAGAAGTTCATTTGTTCTTGTTGTTGTTAAGTGCCGTTGAGTTGGTTCTGACTCATAAGGAACCTGTAAAAAGTTGTCGAGGAGTGGCTGGTGAGTTTGAATTGCTGACTTTGCTGTTCAAACTGACCCTGCAGTTCAGTGCATTATCCTGTACACCACAGGACTCCTATGCCTCCCTAAACATCAGATTAACCAGTCCTTTCTCTTCTCTCACTTATCTCAAAGTCAACGGGTACCTATGGAACATGTACAAACTTAGCCCATATCTTCATTGCTGCATTTCCCTGACATCTATTCACAAGTAGACCATGTGGTCCCCAGCTAGCATACAAGACTGCTCATGTGATCCCTTTGAGTTTCAGTCTTAGAAGGGAGATTGCCCTGATGGGCTCATGTCTCTTGCCTTGATGGCTCCAAGGCAAACAGCTCACTTGGTATTCTAACAGCCAAATAGTCTGCTCTTTTTCTGCTGGTCTTTCTTTCAAGAAATATCTTCTGTTCCTTTAGCCTTTTCAGGCTGGACTGCATGTCTTTCCTTTAAGGAATGTCCCAATTTAGAAGGTTCTGGGTGGGGCTCAGGATTCCACCTGAGGCCCCATCCCCACCAAGACTTAACAAAAAACCTATTTTCCAGGGCAAGTTCTAATTCCCCTTTTAGCTAATCCAAGCAGTTATAGACTTACAAGCTTTCTGTAATCATATTTCCCAATATTCCTTTCTATCCCACTTAAAGATCTTTTTCACAATAGAAGGCAGGGGAAAACAACATCCACAAGACAGTCAAGTACCTTAATATAATTTCCCCTCCTTTACCCATTCCGACTGTGTTTGGATCCCTGTATCACAGAGTCCTCTTGTTCAAAGGTTGTGTATGCATCACTATTTACCCCATCCCATTTATCCCATGCATGCCTCCCTAAGTCTACCCCTATATTCCTTGTTCATTTTCGTCCCTACCCCTTTTTGTGTAGTGCCTTCCCCCACTTTGTATATTTCCCTCCCCATCATCCAGCTACCATGTTTCTATCCCCTAACCCATGAATTACTGACCCCTCCCCTCCTACCCCTTGTTACTGTTGTTAAGTGCTGTAGAGTCGGTTCCAACTCATTGCAACCCTGTATAAGGTTTCTGAGGAGCAGCTGGTGAGTTCAAACTTCTGACCTTGTGGTTCAAACTGACCTTTCAGTCCAGTGTGTTACCATGTACCACCATAATAGGATTTCACCTTCCACCCCTGGTAACCATCAAATACTTTTTCTTTTAGATTGGAAATCCTTTCTTAAGCTTTTACAATAATGGTCTT